TATGGGCCTGCCTGCAGTGTGTGTGTGTGGGTACAGCTATATGGGCCTGCCTGTGGTGTGTGAGGGCTATATACATGAGCCTGCCTGTGGTGTGTGTGGGTATACCCATATGAGCCTGCCAGCGGTGTATGGGGGGAATATTGGGCCCTTAACGCCCCTATAACCAGCAGTGTGTTCAGGCATTCTGATGAGAAACTGAGGGGTTTTTTTTTTTGTTCACTTTAAAAATCTTGCTGAAGCATCTGCTTGGGCAAAAGGCATCATGGCTCAGCTTGAATCCTGCTCTCCATCCCTGTCTCCCCTGACCCTCCTGTCTCCTTGTGCTCCCTTCTCTGGGGAGAGAAGTTTCATCTCTGCTGCAGCTTCTGGGGGAGAGTTACTCCTGTGAGCATCAGGTAGATGACTCATTGCAGGAGCTGAATATGTTGGAGAATTAGGAAACCTAGTGAGTGTGCACCAGCAATTGCAAACAGAAGAGGCATGTCAAAATTTTGGCTAGCTGATCGTTTGCAGCAATTACACCAGCCAGCCCCCAGGTTGCCATCCCAGGCAGCAAGATTTGTTGCCTTCTTATGCTGATGACACTATGTGTGTTTCTGTCTTGTTAGCATCACCTGGGCACAAAACAATAGGATTTGACCTATTTTGAAGCTTAGAAACTCATTCTCCTGAGTTCTGTGGAGCTTGTTATGTTGTGTGGTTATAATGTGTATATGGCGCTGGTTTCTAATGAAAGGGGGCACGGAGGATGCCAGTCCTGTAGGGTGTATATCAGCGTACACCAAAGTCAGCTGAGCTATTGCAGTTCATGTTATCCATGGATACTTTATTATAATTAAATCTTCTATACGATTGTATATATTATCATTAAGTCTTCTATACGTGTAAAATTCAAAAGCAGATAACAAGTAAGACACATGCATTGAAATACGGGTTTGTATTATGTTAGCTTTAACATGAGTAGCAGCCTGCAGAGAAATGAGCTGTTCTTGCAGTTGTATACTGAAAAATACCATGAAACACGGTTGCTGTTACATGTGAGGAAAGATAGGATTTGCGCTGCTGAGAAAGATGCTTTTACCGTTACTAGTAAGTCTGTGATGCTGCCTATACATCCACTTGTTTTTTATTACGTTGAGTAGCCCAACTTGTTTTAGTGGTGCTACCTCTTTTAGTACCAACAGAAAGGTGCATCAGAGGCAGGAGACCTGGGGGCTGAAGTCCTGAGCTGTGGGTGGATGTCCCTTGCATTGGAATGGAACAACTTAGTCCATTTTGCACTTGAATTGCTGCTGGAATCTAATCTTCCTAATCGCCTGATGGCCTTCATAGAGGGAAGCTCTGCAACTAGGAGAACCTCTCATAAGTTCTTACCATGTCAGAATTATCTGTTACTAGAGAAAAGAACCCTTCAGGAAATGTTTTTTAACATATTTTAAGCAGTAGATTTAAAAACATCAAGTGTCAGTGATATTTTTAGAGGTGTGATGCCATGTACTAAGATATATTTTGATATATGCAGAAGACCTCAGTAATATTTTGGTTTGGACTAAAATTTGGGCAAATACTACCTATTTAAAGGTTCTAAGAAGTGTTTATACATTGGTGCTAACATGACTTTTTTTTTTTTTCCTTTCTGCTTAAGTCTTAATCTCATAAAAATTAAGCATACTGTTTAGTTGACTGTTTAAAAATATACGTTAGAATTCATTATTTATAATTTCTTGTTTTCTGAATGCAAAATTGGTAGTTGATTCATGAGAGTTAGGACTGAAGAAAATTGTATTTCTACTCTGTAAGTTCTGCAAAAGTTTTTGAAACTGGTCTTGTTTGTCAGTTTATAATTCTGGTATTTCCGCACAACAAAAATCGTTGAAGACTTGAGACTGACTCACTTGCTATCCATTGTTAGAAGAAAAAAAAATTTTTCTAAATAACAAAGTATTTTTGAATTAAAAATGAAGCAATTGTCTTAAATAATTTAACTTCAGATGGATTTCACACTCATTTACGTAGTAATGTATTTACTCGATAGGATCCTTTCACTTATTTAACAGAATAATTCCCTATATAATTCTTCTATACATTATTATTTCTAACAAAGAATGTCTTTGATCCATAGGGATTTCTGTAGTGGTAGCCTGAATGCAAACATTCTGAAGAATTGCATTTACCTAACAACAAAAGCTATATAGTTTGTAAAACATGAATGAAAACTAATGCCTGTGTGAGCTCACTTGCTGAAGTTTCACTCGAGTCAGCGAAATGGAAGTTGAAGTTCATCTCAGCGTATTTTAGAAGGTCCTTTTCATTTAAAAACAATGATAGAACCTGTGGAAGTTTGTGGATGCATTTAACTCATTTGAAAGTGATGAACGTGACAGTTCTATTCAAACAGTTGATGATGCTTAACAATACATTTTACCTTTTTTTTTTTCTTTTTTTTTTAATAAGCTGCTGTGCAGACCTGAGAGGCCTTTTTTTCCTTTTGTGTGGAAACTTTCTGTTGTTGTGGCTACTGACTGCTCAGCAGAATGTGGTGTTTGGGGAATATAGGATGTTCGGTGTCAGTTTTTCTCCCTTTTTTTAATTTAAAAATATGAAATTACAATATCCAGTAGTAATAGAGGCGTGATTAGTCTAAATATGTGCATTCAGCCTGCCAGCAGTGGATAACGATTTTTGCTTAATTGGGACAGAATTAGTGGGGAAGTGTTTGGCTCGTGGAAAATGGGAAACTCAGCCTTGCCCTGCTAATAAAGGAGTAGCCATATAAAGATTCAAAGAATAAATAAAGAGGAAATGCAATAAGGTTTTTTTTACTCAGTACAGTATGTAAATATAGTGCCATATCTATATCTATACACACACATATGTACATTGTACTAAAAAGAGTAGTTGCGTGTTCTTTTTCCGTACTCTTGACTAATAAATAAATAGTGTGTGTAATCTGAATGATTTTTCCTGTCAGTCTTTATTCAAATTCCTTACATTTTTTGTAAGGAAGAGGCAAGGCAATTTGGTTTTAGTTTGTAAAATTGGGTGAGTGAATTAAATAGTGTGGTTGAGTAAAAAGATCATGTTGTATAAGTGTGTTATGATTTGTAGGGCAAATTGTGCAAAATATACGTATATTTATGTAATAATTCTACTAACAATATGGAAAAATATTTTCCAGAGGTGGCAATAACTTGGTAATTGTAGAATCATTAAAAATAGATTTCTTGATGATTTTTTTTTTTTAAACTTTATGAAAGTACCGTGTGTTCTTTTAGAGTCTGTGTGACTCAGCAAAGAAAAACTTTAGACAGTTTCATTTGGAACAGAAATTAATCGTTTTCATTTTTCCTTTTAGAAAAGATGCAAATGCCGCATTGCTAAGTAACTTTGAGGTAAGTTTATCTGTGTCCTGGTTTTAAACCAGCAGTTTAAAGCTGTAATCAGTCACTTGTGTACTTCTTCAGAAGCTGAAAATTGCCAGTGGCAATCAGCAAGACCTATAGGTGATTTCCACCCCCTCCATTTGATTTGTTATTAAGAAAAAAGCTTTTTAAAGAAAATCTAGTTTTCTAGAAAATTACTAGTTTTCAGTAGTAATGAGTACTGTATTATTATTTGGTTGGTCCCAAATCTACTAAAACAGATATAAATATGTTTTTCAAATAGATGAGGAGCAGATCTTTAGAATGTCAGGAACTTTAACTTCAGCCTTGTCATATTTACACTGTTGCTGTGTGGTTAGTTTGTTGAATCCTCTTGTGTATGCTGGTTTGTTATTTAGGATTTGATTCTCCACATCTTTAAACACTTGTGTATTTGGGCAAGTGCACTGGATTCACTGGTGCTTTGTATGATGACATATGGTGCATTGGATCCCAAATCGGGAATGTTGACACCTCTGTAACTGGGCAGCAATGTCCAAAATACCTTTTTTTAAATTTTATCTTATGATAAGCCAGTATACCACCAAGTGTGTGACACACTGATTGCTGGAGTCTCTTTAATATTGCAAATAAAAATTCTTGCAGAAAAATTCAAACATTTTTCACAGATGGCTGCTGCTAGAATCAATGTTTTGTATTTAACTTTAAGCTTGTGATGTGCAGTATCATCCGAGAACCTATAACTCATTAATGCATAGTTTTATTAAAGCCAGTGCTACTGGAAATGCAGTCTCACACCTCTAAATGCTTGACAGTATGTTTTTTTAAAGATTGTGAGGTGTTTCCGAAGCAGGTTAGGTTATAGTAAGCATGAGGCAGTTTGCTGATCTGAGACGTGTTACTCAGGATAAACACTCCTAGAAGCTAGTGATGTACCTTGATCTGGTGTCATGGGGAAGCTCCAGTGGCCTGTCATAACAAACAATGAATATTGGCATACAAATAACAAATTAGAAAATAATCTTATTTTCTAGTGTAGATAAGTTCTGAATCATTTTCCTCTCTCCTGAGTAAAGGTATTTTTTTAGTGAGGTAGAAAGAAATGTAATGTTCTTGTTGGTAAATGAATGTAAGTTTTTGAATGGTTTTAATAACCCAAATGCTTTGTTTATATTGTTGTATTGCTGAAGCTTGAAAGTTGCACAGCTGTTTCATCCTGTTCTGAAATAAATCTTGAAATGTTTTATCTTGAGCTGCATCTGTCTGCGTACAGCAGAGCAACCATCTGGTTACTGTTAGAAGAGCTTTAATGAGGTACTTGGAAAGAACTATCTTGCCTAAGAAATAGGTGATACTATGTCAGCCAAACTAGTATTAAGTGTCTGTTAAAAACATACTATTGCAATACAGAAAATAGCAAGTATTTCAGAGGTTATTTATTGCAAAATCATCTCTTCTTCCTCCTTCTTCATTTGCTGGGATATTTGTTGGAATCTAGGTATTACTGCCTGCTGAGGTTCAAGTACTGGTGTCAGTCACATTATGTAAAATCTATAGGTGTCCTAAAGGTATGGTCCAGAATAGGGAGAATTGCAGAATCCGTTCTTCATGCTCTTCAGTCAGAACTTTCTTCAGCTGAGATTTTTGTTGGTGAGTGTACCATGTGCGTTGAAAAAAAGCAAAAGGAAGTGGAAAACGAAGTTACTGATGAGAGTGCTTATTTCTCATTTCCCTTTCACAGTAGTTGTCATGCATGCAGCTTTTTGAATCTTTGCAGGAAGGGATTTGCAGTGTTTGCAGCTACAGGCTTTTGGGGCATGGCTTTTCGCTGCTCTTCAAAGTACTGATTCCCCTGAAACGACGGATCTCTTTCTGTTTGCTCCTCTTTCCAGTTGCAGTTTGACTGTCATAGCTAACACTCTTTATCGAGGTAATATTTTGCACGGAAAGTGATGTTTGAAATGAGTATTCAGGACTGACATGTTCTATGTCCTATGCCTACATTTATTCTGTGAGTTTGGAGTTGTCATTTTGTATCTCATTGTCACTGGCTATATTTTCTTCAAATATTTATTCGATAAAAGTTCATAGCTTCAGTTTTGGCTTTCAAGTGAGGATTGACAACTGGTGGTTGATACACAAGGTGTTCCTTTTTCATAGAAGATACAATATAAAGTAATTGCAGGATTCGTAGCTGGTAATATTCTTGTTTCTCACTGTCTAGAAGTGTTTGTATTTTATTTCTATAGACTTGTCAGTTTATAATGTCATTGGATCTGGATCTTGAATGAAGCTAGTTAAAAATTAGGGGATAAACAGTAAGAAGTGGTCTGTTACTTTGCTGTGGTTATTGGCTCTGGGTATATTGTAAAGCCTGAAGCAAAAAATCTGAAGAAATTTCAACTTAATGTGATTTAATATGGGAATAAAAGAGTAATTGTGATGCTGTCTCAACATTTTGCTGCATGTCTAGCTGTAATGAATAAAGGTGGTGTGTTGCAACAGATTTGACAAAGCACAGTTGCAAAAATCAAAACGTCTTCCTTGCCTTCAGACTTACCCTCTGAATCTCGCTCCTACATTAATATTCACTGCATCGTAAATGTGAAGACGACATTATTACATTCTTTTCAGGAATGTCTGCTTGTATTACATTGTTGTGATGAAACAGGGAGCTAATTTAATCTTTGTGGCTTAACATACCATAACACCATACCGGTCACTGTAACATTTACTATTATGAATAACTACACTGGAATTTACAATAGGATCACTAATCTCAGGAGCATCTATATGTCAAGCCTTTACTTAGTTGGTTTCTGGCAGTGTTACAGTTGTAGAGTTTACTTTTTTTTGCGGATAATGTAAAATTGCATCTCTGTGAGACAAGATATATATCCATTTTAATATTATAGGTACATCTGTCAAAACAAATCCACTAGGGCCATAAACTTGTGTGACATTTTGCTTCAAGCATCACTCATATTTAAATGGCAGCTCTGTGCCAGTACAGCAGTGTATGACCCAACTCTGTTCAGGACATGAGATAAGATAAACAAGTAGGATAGATTCATCCTGGCAGCTTCTCCTTTGGGACTATTGGATAACATTTACCAAGTGCTGAAAATCTGTTTAAAATAGTCACAATTTTTAAAAAACAATTTACATTGGATTTTTTTACCTATTCGTCATTCTGGTGCCAAAATATTTTTCATTTCAATTGCTGGTGCATTCACCAAAGAAGCCATGGGGTTTTTTTTGTTGTTTGGTTGGTAGCATTTTGCATTGTTCATTTATGTTTTCCTGCTATTTTTAGATAAATACTTTAGATAAATACTCTCAAAACGTCTAAAACACTTTTTCCTCCCCCCCCCTAGGTGTTCCAGTTACTTACTGATCTTAAGCAGCAGCGCAAAGAGAGTGGAAAAAACAAGCAGAGCTCTGGTCAGCAGAATCTGAACACAATCATGTATGAAGTGAGTAGCACTGTGAAATTCCTTTGCAAATTAGCCTAAGCTGGAGTAATTCACATCCTTATGTCTGTATATTAATAATTTTGTATCAAATTTCCCCTATTGAAAAAAGCAGTAAAATACATTTTTTGTGCCACTTTTCTGTGGTTAGTTTATTCAGGTTGTAGGCTAACTGCGCTGTCCAGGCTGAGGCATGCAGCTGCTCTTATTAAAATCTATCACAAAAAGAATAAACCCCCCCCTTGTATTTTAACTGTTTAGTTTTGTGGGGGTTTTTTGATTCCAAATATTCTATCTTTTTAAGACCCAGGGCAGAACTTGCTATCATCTGATGAATTGATGATACCACCTAATCATGGTTTCAAAGCTGAGGCACAGGTATTTTCTTAGGAACAGAATTAAATGACTAATTTCCCACTAAAATGGATTTTTTTTTTTTTTTTTTTTTTTGGTCAAAAGAGCAAGATGGATGTCAGATTGGTAATAAACGTTCAATCTGTTGCTAGGAAAAACTAAAATCATATAATACAAATATTAACATTTTAAATATCTCAAATTAGCAACTTCATAGCAGATTTGCAGTGTGACCTATTGTGTTTGTGTCAGAGAATTGCCTGAGTAGCACCACGATTGGCAGCGAGTTGAAAGCAGTTTGCCTTGCTTGCATGGGTAATCCCATTGAGCAGTGAAACTACTCATGTGAATAAGATTTGGCCTAGGCTTTGTTTTTGTTTTAGTTCTGGCTTTGTTTGAAAAGATACAGCAATGTAATTCCCAAGCCTTATATTCAACAAAAAAATCTAATTTAAATCTTCATGGAGACTAACAGTCTCTTCCTGTACCTCTTGAAACAGCTGAGAAAGATCCTATGAGTATATTTTGTCAGAATACACCTTAAAGCTTCAATTGCCTTGTTATATTTTACATGTTAAATACCTATAGGATGCTCGTTTTTGTGCATGGAGTGAAGCTGATGTAAACTCTAGGTACATTTTCTCTATGTTTGTCTGAAAGAAAACCAGAATTTGATCTTGCAGGATTGTTTTTATTCATGCTGAGTATATCTTCATGAGCTCTGTGCAGGCTTGTAACCATTGGTACTGAAATAACTAGATGGAGCTTGCTAAACTGGAGCTATGTTTTGCTGTATGTCTGGCATTTTAATTGATTTGAAATTGCCGAAAAAGACTAAACTGGAAAAGAAATTACTCCTGTTAAATAATCTTATTACATGATAATAAGATGATGTTGTTTCAGTCATTATTGGTGTATAATAACTCCATTTTATCTAAAAAGGTCAGGACGGGACTCAGAGAAGGGAGCATTATCCAACACCTTATTGTGCTTTTAAATATATTTCTCAGTAGTCCAGTGAAACTGGTCCTTAAGAATACCAGTGATTCATATTTCATCAACATTCTATCTGTTAAGTAGGATGAATTATCCTGTGTTGTGGAAATCTGTTTTCCTTTACCTAGCATTTTTAAATGATAAGAGTTTAATGGAAATACACTGGAAATAAATTTGCATATTTTCTTATTTGCCATACTGATCTTGTAGCTCATTTTTTCCCAGTATCTGTTGTTTTCTGCTCTGTGAATACTGAATACTGATGTGAATATTCAGCTTTTTTGGCTTCTGACTTTTCAAATATAAATACTCAGTTTAAAGATTTTCTGAGAAAGAAATTGAAAAAGTATCATATAGGATTTTATGGGTTTTTATTATTATTATTATAGATAATCTGTGCATGTGGTATCCTACCATACATGTGTCTCTGTATTTGCAATCCAGTTAGTGCATCATGAGTCAGTTGTGTTGATACTTTCAAGCTTTATGTATAGCTATGCAGTATCAACAAATGAAAATTTTGTTCCTTAATTCAAAACAAGCATTGACAATACTCTTTTAAATCCTTCATTGTGTGCTGATGCACACAATGCAGACAATGCAAGGATTTCCTTGACTTTTCCATTGATTCCATTATTTTCAACTCTTCGTTTTGGGGTCTAATCAAAGCAACATTCAGGAAGATTCTAAGCTACTTCCAGTGAAAAGACAGCTGTGAACTGGGATTTGTGTAGGGTTTTTTTATTGACAATTTTTTTTTTTACTTGGGTCAAATTACATTATGTATTATCTGCTAGGTGTCATGTTGTTTTAAATAAAGCAAGCAGATGTAACATCTGCTGCAAAAGTTAGCTGAGGTTGGTAGGTGTTACATGTAAGAAATAGAGCAAAGATAAATTGTCTCAAGTCAGATAAACATTTCTAATACCGCAGTATTCTTGCAGATTTTCATGACAACCCACGTAACCTGCTTCTATGAACTTTAAGAAAGCATTGCCAAATATGCATATAAAGGATGAAAACAACCATAGATTGGAGAGCTTAATGAGTTATTTGTGGGTTGGCAGTGAGAGTATCCCTGGCACTGAGCACATGAAAACTTGGCAGAAGATAACACGGTTTTAAGGATGAATAGTATTCAACTTTTCTGAAGTGTTACTGCTTTTAAAAAACAAAAACCAAACCAACAAAAAATAAACACCACAAAAAAACCCCAAACCCCGTATCTTGGTACCTTTTTAAACTAGCTTTGAATCTGTAAATGTTTCTTGGTTTTAAAAGGAAAAGTAAATCTGAGTGATACTATTCAGCACAGATGTATGTCTTGATCACAGTCTTAGCATCACCTGAGATTATTTCAAACCAAGAAAGCAAATGTCTTTCGCAAATGTCTTTCACAAACAGCAGGTATTTTTTAGTAGACAGAGCTAAAACTCTCTCCTTTCCTGTACTGTCCAACATGCGACTTTGGGCTTTGAACAGATCAGATAAATGAGCATCCAAAGCCATAGAGGGAATAGCCAAAGCTGTAAGTCTCACCTGCGCGTGTCATGAGCTGGCTGGGTCATGTCTTTATGGAATGAATTCACTGGGGCTTTCTGGATAAGTCCTAATATAATTTCCATTACATAAAGTTGTAGTTACATATTGCCTGTTTCTTTACTCTTTCAGCAAATATCAGTATAGTCTTACTAAAGACAGAAAAATGTGAGTGATCTGTGTCATCTATGACAGCACTTCCCAGTGTTTTTTAAAAAAAAAAAAAAAGTAAAAAGCCAAGCCCCAAAACCTGAATTGACTTTTCCAATTTTTCTGAGTAGTACTGAGGAGACTTTTCAACATCGGCTTGTTTCATACACAACTGGTAAAGCAAATAGTAACTGTGAAATAATTTATACTTACTTTCTATCCATTGCAGACACTGAAGTACATTTCAAAAACACCCTGTAGATACCAGAGTCCTGAGACTGTGAGAGATTTCCTCGTAGCAATGAAAGGCCATAAGCTAACCAAGTAAGTGGAGATGTGCCTTTGAGTAAAAGTATAAACTCCTGGCAATGTTGAAAAACTGATCCCCATGTACACAGTATGATAATCTGTCTGGTTGTGATTAATGTATTTTAAGTATTTTCTGCCATTATTTAAATACTCATCCAAACATCTTTTCCTTCACTCGTTAACGCCTACATGGATGAGTATTTCCTTAAGTGGGCCTGTGTTTACCAATGTATTTCTCAAACAGATTCTTGTCAGTATGTTGGTTTTTAGCGTGGTTTCACATGGTCCAAGCACAAAGTAGAGTTCATAAAATGTTTCCTGAGGAAGAAGTTGTAAGTTGTAAATGGGTTTTGAACACAGTAAGAGAACTGCAAAAAAAAAAAAAACCCAACCCAACCTCAGTTTATTATCAGTCTTATTTTTATAAACTTCCTTAAGCAAAAATGCACTCATTCCTAAGAGGCGAAAAAGGTGACTGTATTGCAGGGAGGTAATAAGTAAATAAAATCCTAATACAGATGTATGGGAAAGAATGTTATTTTGAAGTTAAGTTTTATGTGAATCTGTGAACCTCAACTGCTACAGATGATCTCTCAGTGTTATGCTCTCTGATTGGCATTTAGCAAACTAAGATGTTCGTCTTCTCTTTTTGTGCTGTTTGTCCACTGATATTTATGTCCACTAGGATTTCTGAGATGTACATTTCAGTTACCTAAATATTGTGTCAGTCAACCTTTTCCCCCCTGCCGCAGTTTCTAGTAAAGCTGAACATACAGTTCATTCTTCTTATTTTGGGAAGTCCTGCATAGAAAATAAAAGACTTCCTTCACAGTTACAAGAAGACTCAAAGGGCATTTTTCCTCTTTGGCAGTGGTGTGAATGCCTGTTCGCAGTGCTTGAAACGCATGATCCTCTCAAACCTCTCTCCAGAGTGAGAGTGAAGCCTGTAGATAATCAGACCCAAAAGAAATTCAATCAATTGGCTACTTGCTTGGATAGCTCTAATCAGTCATCTGATTTTTAAAGCAGAAAAACCAAAGATTTAGTTGCTTCTATATGACTCCCTCTTCACCACGAAGAAGTCGTTTATGCTGTATAGACACTGACTGCATTTTTCTTCCCTGCTGGAAGCACTCCCGAAGAGTTCATGCTCTGGGAAGGACGCTCTTACTTATAGTTCGGTTGTGTCACAAAAAGAAACCCAAAGTGAGAGCATCTGGAGAGTGCAGTGCTACAAGGCAAGTTTCTACCCTGTCCAAAGCATAGTAAGTTGAGTAGAAAGCAGATTGTCAGCTATTTTGTTGACTTTCAGTGACCCCTTTCTACAAACAATTATGCTTACATCCAGTATATCAGCAGCTCTGGTCACAGTATTGCTGTCTTTGCAGACACAGGGGTGCTAGTACTTGGAAGCTTTGTCATGGGTATTGTGACTTTGCTTGTAGTGGTTTCTTTTGTAGAGCTGAAGTTGCCAGGTCAGTATGTCAGTGTTTAGTCCTCCCATACCTCATTTTATATAGCAGAATACTAATTAATATAGTGGGCAAGAATACCCTAATTGTTTTCTGACATTGAGGTATTCAAGTATGGAGAAAATACTCTGTTTACTGTAAAGAGCTGATAGCATGGAAATGAAAGAGTATCTTAAAATCAGCCACAAACTATTTCTTCAAATAAGTAGCAAGCATTCCTGATTTCTGGTACTGTGGAACAGTCATCCTCTTCGAAGTGAAATAAGCTTGTTCAGTGTGTGCAGGGCAGCAGTTAGGAAAGCACCGGAAGAATGGTATATCACAGCAAAAAGCCAGTGGGAGTTAAAAAGGCAGAATAGGATTTTTTAGAAGTAGCTGAATGAGTTAGGTGTAAGAGTCCCATTAAAAGTCAAAGGGCTTTTTTTGTTTTAAAGCTCGTTTCTAAATTTCTTTGTGGTAGAATTTGGCCAGGACCTCAGGGTTAACTCTTACAAAAAAGGCAGGGGAGCTCTGTTATCACGTCAGATACCTTGACCACATCTGCTGCCCCATGTGGTGTCTCTGAGAGTAAGTACTAAATGATGTTGGGTCATAATGCAGAGAATTCTAGCTACAAAATGTCTTACAGTCTCCCATACCGCCTAACTGTTCTGTAGATCTACCCAAATATTCACCTTCCCAAACCTGCTTGTTCTTTGAACTTGAATACAGCACCACTGCAAAGGTTGAAATAGTTACAAGGTTTAAATGAGCTTTTTGACTGTTTTATCTTCTTTTTATGGATGCTAGGAAATGCCATTAGTTTTAGGTATCATCTTCTCTGCCCTTTTTCTCTGAATCAGAGTCTGTAAGATAAGCAAGAGAATTACGCACAAGTCATTTCCTTCTGCATAATGGCAGAAGGACAAGAGGGAACAGCCATGTGCTAGTTTAGGTTACAAATTTACCATGTTTATGGCTTACCAGAACTCAGACTGGACTGTGATACCTTAGTTTCTTGAGCATCCTCTACAACTTTACTTTTAGTTAATATCTTTGTCATTTGGTAAAGAACTTGCCAGCACTGCATTTGCCACGTACTTTACAAAATAAGAAACACAATTGTTTAGTGTGATCCTGGCACTTTTTCTTTCTTCTAATCTTTTCCATTCAGACACTTCAAGCTAGAAGTATCAGAGCCCATCTGGCAGCCTCTTCTCACCAAAACACAGAAAGCATATGGTGTGCAATTACTATATAATGCACTTTATGTTAAACTGCTTAAAATAATAATGCCTCCAAGGAAATTTTGAACTACCCTTTGGTTCATAACCAAGATAATTTCAACACCGTTCTGTTGTTAAATAAATTAAATGCTAAAGGCTTTAATCATTTCCATTCTGTGGGATGGAGGTGGTATTTATTTAAAAGGCTTCACCAGAGATTTCGTTCCAGTTAGCGTTCCAGTTAGGTTCTTTTCTTTGAGAGGAAAGAACCTGCAATATTTGCTCTCCAGGACCTTGCTTATATGATCTTGCTGTAATGACCTTTCCTCCCACAGAGAGTAATGAATTCCAGAGTCTGTCTTTGCTAATTCCTTTCCGGGTAAGGCATTCAAAGATGTGCTCTCTCCCTTAATCTCTTAGCTGGTTATATGCTGTTTCTGCTGGTAACAGTTTTCTGAAGGTAGCTGATTTGATTTAAGATGTATGTTAGCTGGTGTCTGTCCCCAGTCAGGGCACAGCAGCATTTTCTGTTTTCTCATTGCAAGAGGAATAAAGGTTCTGGTTAAAAGGCAGAACTAGTCAGAAACACCCCCTCATCTGAGACTGGTTCCTCTGCCGTTTAAATTCCTTGTTATGACTCTGCCTCTAATCAAGGAGGAAACAACTAAGTAGTGTGTTTGTGCTGTTAATTAGGCTCAGCAACTTCTTTTCTAATACAAGGACTTCAGGGCTTTGAATATAAGAAGGATTTGCAGCTATATCTGAAAACCTGATGGGGGTAGGTAGAGTGAGGAGCTGACTTTCCCTGCTCAGCATGTTATTGCAGCACACAAGCACTAGGTTGTGCTAGTGTATGTGAGAATTTCAAGGTAGTGAAGAAAGACCCAGACACCATCCAGAGAAGCACCAAGAATTGAGGTACATTCATTTAAAGAACGGCACTTTTAATGAAGTGAATTCTCATTTTTCCCGCCCTCTTTCTACAAACCTGCAATACTAACCATGCAGAATGTATTGCTCGTCAGGCTACATGTGATGTCCTAAAACATTCTGGCTCCAGTTACAGTGCTGGCAAATGCTGTAGTTCCTGTAAAATCACCTCAAGTCTTTTCTTTCTGTTATTGCTGATATTTGCTACTCAAAATACCACGTTAACAGACCAGCATATCTTTTCCGCTGATAACCATCAACTTTGTGATGGGTTTTTCTCACTAGTGTTACAGGCAGAAAAAATTAATTTCTCCTAAAAGGCAAATTTTAAAAATAAATACTAATGTGTAAAAACAAGTTAAACCTTTCGGAGTCATTTCAGATAGCTGCCTTGCTAAATGGAGCAAATTCAAAGACATCTAAACCTATATTTCACTGATACAGTCAGTAAAGTGTGGTAAAACACAGTTTTTTCCATGTCATCAGTTATTTTGGTAAAATTGAAACTGTAGAACTGAGTTGTGGTTTTTTTGGTTTTTTTGTTTTTTTTTTTTAACGAAAAGCTCCAAACTGACATCATAGTGAATTTTATTATTACCTTGTTGAGGCCTCAAGCTTTGGCTAACACTACAGTACAGTAAGCCATGTTGTACTTGGAAATACAGTATGCCACTAGGAGCTAATTTTCCAGTTTTAGTCCCTAGAATGGCTTCATATTTTGTAAGGTAGTGCGAATGGCATTGCATGAAAAGAACATTTATCAAGCTTGTGCTCTGTAATTGCGGTTAAATGAAGATTGGCTCAACTTGTACTTCTTCCTGTTACTGATAGCCTATCTTAGATCTAATTTTGGAATAATCAAATTTCCAATCACTGCATATTATCATAATTTTGAAAATTGGACATAAACATTGCCCTTTTTGTCTTTAAATCAACACATTCAAGGAAGCATTGAGCTGAAAATCGGTAGTACTTCTAGAAAGTATTTTCCCTCATTACTGCCAAAACCTACAACAGATATAAAAGTATTAAAGGCTGGATGATTTACTTTGTATTTTTTGTCTCCTTCAGAGCTTTCAGAGTTGAATATTCAACATCGAAGTCAGGATGGTGCTATTTTAACAATAGCATCATTTAATAGCCTTTAAAAAGACCATTGTGTTTCCCACTGAATTGATTTGAAATTAACCCTTTGATCTGTAGCAGTGTTGCTCAATTTTTTGCATTCAGATACCATTAGCAGCCCTCAGATTTCATCCTGCACAGATGTACCGACATTGAAGTGCAGTGGTAACCCCTGTGGAGAATACAGCCCAGTATGTTTGCACAGACCATGCGCAGGCTGCTACTGTGATTTCGCAGACCGCAGCTGGGGACTGCTCATCCGTAACCCGAATCCTGTGATCTT